CCCTGCTCCAGCCATGCCACCTTCTCCATCATTACATTTTTCAGCTGTTCCCAGGATCTGTATGTACCAGCCAAGAGCAACCTGGCACTGTCAGCATTTAAATCCGCTATTGTTTATTTACTGCCCTAATTATACACCAGGTTTGCAAATTTGCTTGTTACAGATGCTTTCTTAGGAAAATCAGCAAAACTGTTAGCAGTCTTTATCTGATGATGCTCACATTCACCCCATTTTTTTTCCTTCCCCTGCCCTTCTCCCCCTGCCACAGGAGCCCAGTAACAAACGGGTCAAGCCGCTTTCCAGAGTCACATCCCTGGCCAATCTCATTCCTCCTGTCCGAGCCACTCCACTGAAGCGATTCAGCCAGACGCTCCAGGTAATGGCAGCAGATGCACTGCTGCATCCAACTGTGCTGCTTAAAGGGGAATGCAGACACAGCCACAGCTTCTGCCAGAGTTCTTGGGAATGGGAAATGCGCACACGTCCACACTCCCCTCTGTAATGTGCCAAGCAGGTTTAGGCAACTTATGACTGTAGACTCACTCAGCTTAAAACTCACAACTCTCACTCCAAAAAACACTTCTCTGGCCTGATAATTAATGTTTTTCAATTACCAGTAAGCCAACTATTGCACCTGTAGTATATAGAAGTTGCTCACTAAAGAATTTCTATTGCTTTTTAAATTTGTTGAAGAGAATGTTCCATGACACTTTCTGTTCATTTTGGTTGGTTTCTTTGAAAATGTTATTTTTGGTATAGCTGGTCATGTAGGACTACTAAATTTCCTTCTGTATAGTGAACTTTGACCTTGCTTAAACAAAAGAGTTAGTGAACAATTGGAAATTTCCAAGTCAATTTCCAAAGCTGATGATGAAAATTAATAAAGGGAAAGCAAATTTTAAATGCAGTCTCTGTGCTATAGATTGTGTGTAATATTTAACATACTTAAAGACTAATGGAACTTTAGTTTATAAGGCATTTGTTGCTTTAGACCTGGAGAATGCAAAACATTTGGGTGCTCAGCTCCTGATGGCTATCATGAGTGGCAGCCCTGCTGTGGGTCTGGCCCAGAAAGCCTTTAAAACAGTTAATGTAAGAAGGCATATATAAGATCTAAAAAAAAATTGTTTAACAAGCTTAACTTCTTTGAGAGGAAATATAAAAGTAACTTGAGTGTATAGAAAAAGTTCCGTAATCAAGATTAGCTAAATTAGAGCATTACTGAAGTTATCTGTTAAGGAGGAAAGAGAGAAAACTTTAGAGCTGGGAGTCTTATGACAAAGTCATGGGAAAGAACCCCATTTTTCTGTAGTGGTAATTCTCTACAAAACAGATACAGGGGTTTTCTAGCATTGGGTTTCCTATGTTCGTTTCCTGAGCTGCTGGAAGTGCAGAGATCTGTGCAGCAAAGCTGTGTGTGCAGGTCTGGGGGAAGGCAGAGTGGCTGCAACCCCCCAGCCTGGGCTTGGTCCAGAAGGTGTAGTCTAGCGTGACTCGAGCAGGGATGCCTGTATTCCCTGGGGTGTATAAATCTCCTCCACAGTCTGCCTCCAGGAAAAATTGGCCTGACTCTGAAAGGGCTACATTAGTTCCAGTTGTGAGGAGTGTGGAAAACAAATTAATTTTTGGCTAAACCCTTTCTGAGCACAGTGCTTCCCTTCACCCACTCTAGGACAGCTGTTGGCCTCATTTAGGTACCTGTGCTATTGTTCTGCAGTGAATGCCTCTGTGACTGTACCATACAGTGTCCAGAATAATAATTTATTTAGAGTTGATTTAGACTGTGCAAAACAACAATCCTTCCATGTATGTAGCAGCAGCTTCTTGAGATGAGACCTGTGTATATAATAGGAGGGAGAACAGTTGGCTTTGTTGCAAGCATTTCTGTCATGCTCTGTTCATACTGCCTTTAAGAATATATTTTAATTAGCTGTCTGCTTCTAAGCAGATTAAACAGTGATGTTATTGATACCATCCCCTCTAACTATGTGCTTGAAGGAGCTGCAATGAGAAATCAGGTTGTATATTCTCCAAATCCTAGGTCTGAGTCCGTTTCCAAGTGAGGAATGCTGGTGATGTCCCTCAAAACTGCCTTCATAGCTGGCTGTAAAGTGATTTCTTATCTGTTTTGACAGCAACTATAGAACAGGGACAAAAAATACTGACCTTGTGCTCAGGTGTCCCGCTTGGAGTTACTTAGAAACATTCTGGGAAGCATGTATAGCTATTTCAGTTCATTATGTATTGACATAGCTGTTACTGTGTCTTGTGAACAGTATAGAGCAGGATTTCTTTTCACGGTGTCATTTCCTGTAAAAAAGGGAAAAACGTTGATTTTTCTTACTGGGTGAACTTTTATGTGTCTTCATTGTTATTTCAGTCAAACCCCATGTTTCTTCTTGCATTACTGCTCAATGTATCTGTAAGATGAAAGCTACTATCATCACCACAACATGCAAAACAAACAACTTCATCCCCGGAAGGAAACAAAACTAAGCGAACAGAACATCCATCTAAAAAGATCACTCCAACAGCGTCAGTAAAAGGAATTAGAAAATTCTGAGATTCCATTATGACATTCCAAACAAACCTTCTTACATATTCTTCTGAATGGAAGACATATATAAGAGGACAAAAAGTTTATTGTGCAGAATTTTCCTTAGCTCTGTACACATAACTTCCATTTTATATTAGTAGACTTTGAGTTTGCAGGTTGAAGAGAAAAATCTCTGTGTCTGGGATTTGTGTAGTGTCTTTCAAGATGTGATCTTAGCAACTTTTCATGTTTTGCATGTTTTAATGATTTTTATTTGACTTTTTTTGTGCATACTTTATTACAATTTTCCATTTATTTTCAATTACTTTTTCCATAAGGATTCCAAGTAACAAAGCACATAAAGTCTTTCTGGTTTTCTTTCTGTTTTGCTTTGGTTTTGGGTTTTGGCTATTTGTAGTCATTCTGTTTCTGTCATGTAGAGCACTGTAGACTAGCTGACTAATAATGCTGTTAGCTTCATCTCTGACAGAGCCTGTCTGTATATCTGCAGGATACCAAATGCTAAGCAGGTATTTTTATTTGTTAATCCACCTGGGAAACCACTATTTTGTAGCTGTATTTTCAGTCTCCATCAGGCTAGACTAATGATTATGATGATCTGCTTGGTCTTATTCACAGCTGTGCTGTTCAGCTTAAAAGCTGAAAACAGGATCAGTACAAGGATGCTGATGCTGGAGAGAGGAAGTGAAGTCTGATTGGCTTCCTCTGCAACTTCAGTTTTCAGCTGTGTGTCTTGAATTTAAGTAGGGAGTCCAAATTGTTTTTATGCGTTAGGACACTGGAAATTTCTAGAAATCCCTTAGGAGCAAACTCTCACATCAGTCGTGAATGCTCGGGCCTTGTTCAGTAGTGCTCCTTTCCCAGTACATGAAGCTGTTTGCTTTGCTGCAGCTGAAATTAAGGTTTGTTAATTGCATGAATTAGCATCACTAACACATAGGCCCTTCACAGTAACAGTCTTGTAACAGCCAGGGAAAGTTCTTGCTGTCAGAAAAATACAGTAAACAAAATGTGGGGTTGTAGCTGGATTCTTCCCCAGCTTCTTTAGTTTTTGGAATTTTATGAAAATTTTAATAATCCAGGATGGTTTTAATGAGTGTGCAGGACATGTTTTTTAAGGAAGTCAGAAACTAGGAAAATATTTTAAAAGGCCAAAGACTTAGAAATGCTGTTTTGACATTCCTGCAATTCCTTCTATCACGATTGATTTTTCTTTCTTCCCTGCCCCCTGCTTGGCAAGTACCAACCCAAGATACCATCAGAGTACCTTTAAACTTGTTTTTTCGAAATTTTTTGGTAGAACTTCAGTTTAGGGCTCTATTCCACTAATCAGTAACCTCAGTCCTGTGCCTCTTATTAATATTAAGCAAAGTGTTCTTGGTATGGTTAACGAAAATGTTGATGTCTGAGTGAAACCAATTAAATATATACTTACTGTATCCAGGTGGCAAAGATGCTAAGCAAACAAGCAAGCAGGATTTTGGGGAGTTTGGTTTGCTTTTGAGTCTCTCACCTTCTGCAGTTTGGGGCTGTAGAGATTAGTATGGACTGTTCTCATGCAGCATAGAGGAAACCTTCCTGTCAGTGCACATGAAAGCTGACTTTTCCCAAAACACTGTAGGTATTTGGAGTTTGCTCTTAGGGGTGCTTGCCCTTTTATAACATGATGTATGATATTGTTAAAAGTTTTGAAAATCAGGACATTCACTTTAAAAATCAGTCTGTCTGGTGCTTTTTATTAGAAGTACTTTCTTCATTCAACATAAAACATTGCTTCAAGAGAACACCACCACAAAGGGGCTGTATACTGGGGGATGAATAGGGACATTCCACCTTGGGTCATGGAATGTTCTGCTGGATTGCATTCCTGTGGTTGGTGATTTGTGGATGCAATGCACCTGCCTCTGTCCCCTGATCTTCCCACTTCCATGTGAAAATAACAGGTTCCATGATTCCTCATTATACCAAGTGTAAATTAAGCATGTCATTGCATGTGTGTTTCTTTATCTTCTTAACTCTTGAAGGAAGACTAGCACTTGGCTTGCAAAGTTTGGCAACTTGATGTATATAAATAATGTGTATGTTTATTTTTAAGGGGTTTGTCAGTTCCAGGTAGGGCTCAGAATGGCTTCTGTTAAAAGGCATAGTTTTTATTTGTATAATAAATACCTTCTGATATTGTAGAACCATATTGTATTTATAGGCACTCTTTGCATTTCATGGGCTTTTATCTTAAGAGGAGAATTTCAAATATTGTGCTTGGTATTTACTGCTTTCAGCCTGGAAATGAAGAGAGTTTATTTTATTTTAAATATTCTTACCCAAGGCAATTGAAATATGATTGTGTTATGTAAGGCAGGTTTTAAATAACAACAAAAATTTAGAGTATTTCAACTATGTGAAATATTAAGGCATTTCAGAGGTAGGACCTCAAAAAGAAGCCTCTAATTTTAATGAAGCAAGAAAGGAAACTTTTCAGAAGAACATAGTAAGATCATATCCATCCTTAGCCTGAACTTTTTCAAAGATTCTACAGGCAAATAGAACTCTCTTAAAATTGGACTTGGTTTTATTGACATTTAAGACCAGACCACATAATAGATACAGAGATGCTGGTACATATCACCAGAGTTTAGAGGCTCCAGGAATACTAATAGAGATTCCACAGTAGTATAATGAATACTGATATTTCACAATTTGCTCTCTGCTGATACTGGTTGCTTAATACAGTTCTCCAGCTGCTGAGAAGTAAGTAGGAGCAAGTGGTGTGAAAAGAATCTGGCTTGCTGCTTGTCAAAAACATTAAAATCTGAATATTGACATGCTTCTTCCTTAAAGATTGTTCTTCTCTTTTCAGTCAGATACCCATTTCACACCTTTCTATATGAATTAGTTTCTTGGTCTCATTATACATCTCAAGAGGCAGGGTGTTTCCAGTTGAAAGGATTCCTCCATGTACAAAAACCAGTTTGGTCAGAGCATTATAGCACTAATTATTTAATCCTCTTATGGACCTATCTGGAATGATTATACCAATCAAATCTTTCAAGATTCTGACAGTTTAAAAAGATAAAAGGATACCTTCAGGCAATAAGACACTTGTAAGGTTAGGGGAAAGGTTTTAAAGGGCAGTCTCGCTTTATGAACCATCTTTCTGCTCAAATAAGAGCTTATTTTTCCTTAAACCATTAATATGTGTTTGATGCAATGCACAGTTTAATCTGATGTCCTCAAGGTGCAGGACCTATTGTTTCTCGGTACAGACACCTTTGAACAATCTCACCCCCCAAAATAAACAAAATCCAATGATTCTGATGACTTTGACACATGAGCTGAGTTTATCTCCCAGCTTTTGCTGTCTCAGCTTTCCAGAGTTTCTGTGTAACAATCAGATCTTACTTTCAAAATGAACCAATAATAAAAGCGTTCCTGTAGTTTAGTCTCTTAAATTTGCATTATTTCTAAATTTTTAAGGATGAGGTATCTGATGAGGCAGATGTGTAATGATGAATAATTTGTCAGTTTATGAAACTGAAGGAGTTGAAACTCTATTTGATCAGTTATGTTAGTTTAGTGTTCTGGACCATTCTGCATTTTCCCTGTACTTCACTCCTGTCACATGGTGTATGAATGCATTGCATATGTTTTGAACATGTTGAGGACAGGACATGGACACAGTTCTCTGCAGGAATGGAGGTATTAGGCTTTCATGAAGAAGTATGAAAATAATTTCTCTTATATTGCCATTGCTATGAAGTTCACATTAAAAACTAAGTAGCTAACGTTTGTTGTACTGAACTATATAGAGAAATTCCTTGGAAAACAACAACAAAGAGGTGAAACCGTTCTAACAATAAAAGCAATTCTCTCTGTTTCTAGCGTTCTATCAGTTTCCGGAGTGAGAGTCGCCCAGATCTGTTCAGTCCACGCCCATGGACCCGAAATGTGCCCCCTGCCAACACAAAGAGGAGAGACAGCAAACTGTGGAGTGAGACCTTTGATGTCTGTGTCAACCACATGCTTACATCGAAGGAAATCAAGCGGCAAGAGGTATATGTTTTTTAACTATAAATTTCATGTTCAAAATTGCCTTTAAAGCCTGGAGTTGGGAATGCTAGTAGGCATTGGGATGGCATTCAAAGCTTTCCTGCAATTAAACAGAATGTCACCACCTCCACAAGAAGCAGAATTCCATCCTCAGTCTTTATGATTCAAGCTATATTAGATGAATATATTCTTCATGATTTTGCCTAAGGAGGTGATGGAGTCATCATCCCTGGAAGTGTTTAGGAGGCATTTGGATCTGATCTGGGAGGATATGGTTAGGCATTATGGACTTGATGATCTTAGAGGTCTCCTCCAACCTTCATGGTTCTGTGATTCTATGATTCATAAAATTCAGCTCATCATATTTCCTTAATAAATGTGAAGTTACTAAGATATATTGTCCTGTGGTTGGCTGCCTGTGTGTACACGTTCTGTATGACACTTTGTTTAGTCATGGTTGATATTGTGATGTTTCATTTTGTTGTTCTAGTAATGCTAGATGAGCTGCTGTTTCAGGAACAGGTGTTCATCAAGTGATGAGTATACACAGAAATGCACCATCATTTCCCTTGTTGGAAAAGACTGTCTTTGAGGAAGTTTCCAGTGCTAGAAAGATGAAATACTGATCAAAATATGTCTTCCAAAGCAAAATCAAAGAGTATGTCAGTGGTTTTAATGTGTTGTACATGGCAAAGTCTAAATAATTCATATTACAGTCAATACAGAGCTCCTACAGAATCAAGATTTTTTTTGTTTTCTAAAGAAATTTCTAGCAGTATCAACAAAGCTTATACCAATCTCTCTGAGAATACTTCAGGGACTGAGTCATAAATCAACAGTAGCATCAAGCATTTCTTGTGCAAATTTTAACATTGTACAAGAATTCATAGGAGAGAACTTTTATAACTCAGAACTTCAAAGGCAGCTTATTGAAAAAGAAACTGTAGAAACTGTTTGCATACAGTAACAGTCATTAGTGCCAGAACTCTTGAAAGAATCCTAATAAATGAGCTATATTCCAGGAAGTTTTGCGTGAGGATTCTGCTCTGTGTTGGTTCTCATACTGCAAGACTCAGTGCCTCAGTGGAATAGCTGACCTGCTTCCATGTGGGCATTGTCCATGAGCTCACACTCTGGCAAACTTGCCAGGTATGAGTGTGCCTGAGCTCAGGGAATCTGCACCAGCTGAAGATGTGCTTCCGTGATTTATGTTAGTTGAAAGCCTTGACTGGAAAGCTGGGAATTCTAACTGCCCAAAATGTCCTTAACTCTTCCTGTACCCCAGTTTAGAATGAAATCTTGCACTAAGTTAATCACAGTGGTATTTTGATAAGCCTGTGTATTAGAGTGTTATTTTTAATCTGCCAGCTTTCAAGTCTCAAATGTGCTTCAAGAGGAGTAACTGACTTCAGCCAACAGTTAAGTAGAGCTTGACCTTCATAACAAAAAGATGAACTGATACCAAAATAAAAGTGCTCACTACCAAAGAAATGTTTTAAGTAAGCTCTATCTTCTACTTAGTAGACACCTGTAACTTTTGCCACTGCATGTGTGAAATTGGAACAGAACAAACTCCTACGCAAGCAGTTGTATCAATGGTTAAGATACAGTGAAGTCCAAACATCACACTGATGATAGCTTCCCCATCTGGGAACACACTCCTTTGAAAGACAGAATTCTCTGGCTATTTTAGATGAGCATTTAATGAGCAATCTGATACAGCTCTGTTTTAAAAAATACTACACTTGGTTCTTAGTTAAGGACTAAAGCCTTTATTTCTGTAATTAGATTTAGCAGAGAAATGCTGCTATGTGGTATTACGACAGCTGTTCAAAATATGGGATCAGCTCAGCAAGCAGAGTATAGATTACATAAAGATATTTTATAACATTGGTGTCTTTTTTTACAGGCTATCTTTGAACTTTCCCAGGGAGAAGAAGACTTGATAGAAGATCTGAAGTTGGCAAAAAAGGTATGCTTTTAAAAAAAAACAAAACACAACAGTATTAATTGGTTCATAATACTTTAAAAATTATATTTTCTTTTTGTAATTGCTAAGACAGTAAGAAGGGGAAAAAGCCAAAGCATATTTCTTGTCTTCCCATTCTTTCTGAAACACTTATATATGTGCCCTTTTTTTCCCCCCGCATATCTGAAATGGATAGTTTAATATATGATTATAAAACTTCAAAATATTCTCAGCATTTGGTCTGTTTTTACTTTCAGGGAGCTTTAAATACTAGAATTTATTTTTCAACTACCAATAATATACAGAGCTCTCCTTTTTTTCTTTTCAGGCTTATCATGACCCAATGCTTAAGCTTTCCATAATGACAGAGCAGGAGTTGAACCAAATTTTTGGAACACTGGACTCTCTAATTCCTCTACATGAAGGTAAACCTCAAATAGTCTTTGCTTTACTATTGCTTATAGATTTCAAGTCACCTGGTTTATTAAGTGAGGTTTCTCTTCTTTTTTCTAATCATGATCAGATCTTCTTAGGCGACTTCAAGAAGTCAGGAAACCTGATGGATCAACAGAACATGTTGGCCACATCCTTGTGGGTTGGGTAAGGCAGAGTTTATTATCAATTTTGAGACTTCAGTTTGGAGCTGTAACGTAGTATTTATCAGACAATTTCCTTTCCATATCTAGCATAACATGTCAGAAATGTTTTATCAAAGTATTTTTGAAAGGTAAGGCAACTATTTAGAGACACAATGGAGTATTATAAAAATCAAGAGGCAGACTAGAGTTTGTATCATGTAGGTCTTCTAAATATAAGTAATTAAATTTAGTGGGGAAAAGAAGGCTTGAAATTTTTGAGGAATTAGGTCAGAACATTCAGCAGCCCTGTGTGAAAGGGTGACCTGTTGTCAGCAAGGGAAACATGATCACTACTAGTACATAATGCCTGTAGTTAATGATATATTTGAAAATGTCAAAGTAATCTCAGTTTTCTTTACATAAAGTAATTTTAAATCTATTTATTTTCTAGTATGTTTGAACACAAGTGAAATTCTCTTGGTTCATATACATTTGAGTCTAACTTCCTTTGCTGAAGATTTTACATGTAACTGTGTGTTAATATCTCAGGTTTTGTAACTGGATATGTTGCTCTAATCAACAGACAAGCTCTTTTTTTTTTTTTCAGATTTAAGGCACGGTTTTCTCATCTTGGTTTGGTCAAGATTCTTGAGGGCAGTATAGAAATTTGATTATGGAAGTTTACTTATCTAAAACAGGCTAGGTTTGGGAGTACTCATTCCTAGGCTTTTATTTCCATTCCCAATTAAAATCAGGCTTCTGTGCTCAAGTATTATCTGCACTAAATAGTGTTCAGTCTTAAGTCAATGATATTTTTAATACTTTGGAATAGCATTGAAGATCTCTAGGAACTCAGAGAGGAGCTAGTGCTTCTAAATTACTTCAGTATTGAATAAGCTAAGTGTTACGTATGTTGGAAGTGTTATCATAAATCTCATGCTAAGAGACTCAGCATGAATTCTGATGTCCTGAATCACTTGAAACTTTCCAGATAGCAACCTGTGCTTTGCCTGAACCACAGAATAATTTATTCCTTTCCTCAGCTTCCATGCCTGAACTCCTATGACAGCTACTGCAGCAATCAAGTAGCAGCCAAAGCGTTGCTGGATCACAAGAAGCAAGACCACAGAGTGCAGGATTTCCTGCAGCGCTGCTTAGAGTCTCCTTTTAGCCGCAAACTCGACCTTTGGAATTTCCTTGACATCCCAAGAAGCCGTTTGGTTAAATACCCATTACTACTCAGAGAAATTTTGAGGCACACCCCAAATGATCATCCAGATGAGCAGCATCTTGAAGAAGCTGTGAGTAACTGTTGAGTTCAGGATTTTTTAAGAGATTATAGCACTTGCAGCTTATTAATGGATTAAGGGGCAATACATAAAATATGAAAATACAAATACCTATACAAACAGCTGAAACCAATACATGAAACATCTACGCCCACTCCCCCAGGTGAATCCTATTTCAGTAGCAAAGTGATGCCACAACACAAGGACAGGATGGGAGGTGTTTTCCACACCAGCTCTTGTCTGATCCTTGTCCATTTTGTATTTACCTTTCAATGTCATTTTCTATTATAATCTAAGTAATGTGGAGATTTCTTTTCAGGTTTTAGATCAGTTTTATTCTCTGGTTTGAGGGCTCACATAACCTCTGAACCAAGATTAATTATCATCTGCAAAAAAGCTGCTGACATTTGCTTTAATTCTGGTTTTATTCAGAATAGTGTTGCACTTTCTGAAGTAAAACCAGAGGGATAAATCTAAAGCTTTAACATTTCCTCATTAGAAAAAATCATTATTAAAGAAGAAATCCTCATTAGAAATGGAAATTGACCTGATTCAGATATTACTAAGACTTCTGGGTTTTCCCATAAACATATACATACACACACAGACATATACAGCAAATACAATACAATGTCCACACATGCAAATGTGTGTCTGAGTTAGAGCAATTTCTTTGAAACACACTTTTAATTAATGGAAAAATAAATATCACCCGTGTCCTATTGCTTTGAATGGTATTTAAATATAAAAAAATGCATGTTTTGAGGGCAAAATTAATGATTTGCCTAGACTTGAATATTTTGTACATTTTAGTATTTCTTTGTTGAAAAGTGACTGCCCTCCTGGTTTTTGCAAAGTCCATGTTTCAAAACTCATGTACCTGACCATGCTGTTCTGCTGTTCCTTCCTCAAATCCCTTGCCCAGCTTAACTCTTCCGTTGTAAAATTAGACAACTGTGGTTTAAATTGAAACCTTGGATACTCACATTTAGATGTAATCTATAAGGCAGAATTCCCCCTTATCTTTAAGACCCAAACAAAAATCATAGATACCTCAATATCTGTTTACTTATTTCTAGATTTTGCTTTCCTACATAATGTCTGGTAATACCTTCTAGAAAATACTTTAAGTGCTTTCTTCCTATACTTGTACTTCATGTTGTTTAAGAAAATACAATAATGATTTTTTCCTTGGTATTTCCATAGCCTGACCTAGCTTTGTGGTAGCAGAACACTTGGTCTTTGAAGTGATGTACATCATAAATTGTGTATTTTCCAAGCTAAATTAGGAAACAAATGACTCTATGTGGTTGGCTCTTAGCACTATTCTAGGCTTATGAAGTCCATTAGTCTTCCTGTCTGGCACTCTGCTAAAAGCACATTGGACCAAGTTGATCCCTGATAAATCTCCTAGGATCAGCAGATTCTTGAATTACCTCTTTGGGCATGTATGTCTCGACCCATTCACCTGCATAGGGGAACTGGATAATCTCTAGTTATTTAACAGATGAATTTGATGGCTCTGAGCAGCCTGTGATCACTATTGGAGTTGAGCAAACTGAACCTCACATCCATGTACCCAATTAAGGAGTTGGATTTTAAGTTTCAGATAAATTGATCTCAAGGTCCTGAAGGACTGAACAATATAAGGAAGTTCAGGATAGGGAGCATATTTTTATAGAAAAAGCAAAAACTTTTAAGCTTTTTTAAAAGTAAAAAGGTGAGAAAATTATTACTTTAATGTAAAATTTTAGGTATGTGCAAGAGTAGAATTGTAAAATGAAATGAATTGGCTGTTTTTCTAGAGGGTAACTGATAATGAACAAAAGCTGAGAATTTAACAGTTTGGGCCAGCTGGATGTTTTGCAGGATAAGGATGTTGAAAGTGCTTCTGTTTCTTGTTCTCTGATATAATGCAGCAATTTTCAGACAATTATTATCTATGATAAATAAGTATTTTTATGGCAGGTTGTTTGTCCTGTGTAATTACATTTCAGATTGAATTTCTTACACCTGTTTATCTTAATTCTGCCCATTTTGGTTTGATATAAAGTGATAAATACCAGATTTTTAAGTTATCGTTATAAGCAATAAGAAAGCCAAACTAAAGTGTCTTTGTACACCTTAGTCTGCTTAATTCCATTGTTAATATTAATAATTTCATAGACTGCTCTGCAAAAAATTAATGTAAAATATACTGTAAATTAAAATGTATTTTCTTGTAGTTGCTGTTCAGATTATTAGGAGATAGCTCCTAATATTGGATCATCTAATTAAAGTACATGTGTTTCCTTGTTTTTCTGTAGATAAATATAATTCAGGGCATAGTGGCTGAAATCAACATAAAGACTGGTGAATCTGAGTGTCAGTATTACAAAGAGAGACTTATTTATCTTGAAGAAGGCCAAAGGGATTCACTGATTGATAATTCACGTGCTGTATGTTGTCATGGTGAACTGAAGAACAACAGGGGAGTGGTAAGGAATAAATGTTTTGTCATAAATAACTTTGAAAGCTGTCTTCATATTGCATGACAGCTAAAAGAGCTATAAGCACACCCTGAGAAACATTGCCCTTCAATACATTGGTAAATATTAATCATTATATATAATGATCATCTTTTTTATTAGTAGTAAAATATCGGTATAGGGAGATAATAAGTTTGTGTATCTCTGTCTCTTGTGGAGCCTAACAATATCCTGGATAAATTGTAAATCTCGTGAATTAGGACCAAGCAAAAAGTTTAGGTCCTGTAAAGAGAGGCACAAGTGGTAAAAAATTTGGACTATTCATGGATATAAAATGAGGCATCTGTTGTGAAAATATAGAATGAAGATGAGCATTTTCAATATTAGAACACTGCCAAGGCGCATTGGGAATTGTTTCTGCTATAATTACCTTCTGGTATAATTACCATGTAATTACATAAGCTACTGGAAGATGGGACAGTGAGCTAAATGGGTATAAAGCTCTGTCTTGTGTTCAGGTTGCAAATAATGCATTGATTTATGCTTAGATTTAGAGTCAAGTTAACTTCAGCAGCAAAGAACAATTACTTGTGATTGGGAAGAAAATTTTGGCAATTCAAAACAAAAAGTTAATTTCAATGCATGATATCAAATTTAATATTCCAATTTGTTTATTATTAGAAGCCAGTGGAGATTGCAAACTGTGAGGAGGAACATAATGTAAAGACTTGTGCCACCTAGGAGCAAAAGTAATTTCTGAGCTTCAAAGAGCTGTGGTGAAGCTGCTTGTGAGCAGCATGTGAATTGTTCATTGAAAATATCTTCATGAGTAAGATTCCTTGTTTCTTATTAACAGAGGGAGTAGAGAAGAGTTCAAGTGTCAGAAAGAAGAATGTGTAGAGAGAGCTTTGAAATGTCATGCATGTTTCAAGGCATCAACACTAAAAGAATTATGACATAAGAAACTGAGATCATTACATAATTAGGATCATGACATAAGAAACTGAGGAAAGGACAGGAAAAATAATTTGAGAAGTTTGAAGTTGTATTTACATACTTCTATGCTGTTGTACCATCAGACTGACTTACTTTAACTGTTGAAAACTCAAGGTTATAACATGCTAGAGTTGAAATAAATTTGGTTTAATGATATTCTAAAAAAAGGAATAATGCTTCATTATTTATTAATTTTGAACAGAAACTGCATGTCTTCCTCTTTGAAGAAGTGCTGGTGATTACTCGAGCTATCACCCACAACGAGCAGCTCTGCTACCAGCTGTACCGACAGCCCATCCCGGTGCGGGACCTGGTGCTGGAAGACTTGCAGGATGGAGAGGTGCGGTTGGGTGGATCCATACGTGGTGCTTTCAGCAACAGTGAGAGAAGTATGACTCCAACTTTTCTTATTTGTCCATATAGAATCATTATAACCTTCAGATAGCTGCCAATGTAACATCAGAATGTTTCCTCTAAAATTCGCATTATGATTTGAGCACTGATTATGTGTAACTTGTTGCTTTGCGATTCTTTCTCAAAGCTCATTGTATTTGTGATGGGATTTCTTCACACACCTGCTTCTGTACTGAATTGAGAAGGGGAGAATATGCAGACTCTAGTGGCAAAACTGCAAAATTATTAGGAAGTGTATTTTGAAATCTTAAGCTTTAGCTGCCATGCCTTTCCTTGTGTTATGGAGACATATTCCATAACTCTTTCAGCTGGCAGATACTGTAGTACTCAGTGTTAAGGCTGCAGGTTTCTGTATGCATCTGCTGTATTAATGAAGTGAATGGAAGAGATAAAGCAGTCTCTGGCTGGCACAAGACACAGTAGTCAGTGAAGGTTCTGGAAATCTGCTTTTCAGAAAAGTAGAAGAGGCACTGAAGTGTGGGAGAAGCCTTAATTCTGATGATTCACTTCAAGCTTTATGCATGGCAGAACCAAAATTATTTAATCCAGCTACTGGATTATTATAAGGAGGTTATTAGAAGTGCTTGTGGTGTTTCGTGGTCTTGCCCCACAAAGCAAGGAGATACCCAGACTCTGGTCTGACATGGTTTTGGCAGGAAGATACCTTAAGGCAAAGATTTTGCAGATTCTGCTACTTAAACATACTCTTTGATTATAAAATGCACTCAGCCAAAGCATTCAGGGTTTTGATATGTATTGTTTCTTTCAGTTAAAAATTTCTTTCGAGTCAGCTTCAAAAATGGATCTCAAAGCCAGACTCACACACTCCAAACCAATGACTCCTTCAACAAACAGCAGTGGCTTAACTGTATCCGCCAGGCCAAAGAGAAGGTGACATGTGCAGGCAAGACTGGTGGGCTCAACTCGGAACCACATTTTGTTTTGTCCCCAAACGGACGCAGAGTACCCCAGGGAGAAACCACACTGGAGCAGATGGACCAATCTGACTGTGAGTCAGACTGTAGTATGGACACCAGCGAGATCAGCGCTGACTGTGAATGAATGGAACACACCAACTCTTGTGAAAGTGAAAAGCAAATAGAAACCAATATTTGACAAAAACTTACAGTTCATGGAAGAAAATCTGTCTCTTACCTGTACAGTATTTGCATTCCATACATGGAACCATTTGGAGAAGCACTTTTAGAATACTTTTTGTGACAATGTCAATGCAGTTCTCCTTGTATTTGTATCTGTGAGTGTAGTACTGTAACTGCCCATCTGTATAAGCTGGAATCTCTTGCAACTCATGTCCTGTGATTATATTCCATGAACACCTAAGGTGGATGAAAGAGGTACTTGACCAGTTATTCTCAATGTCCTGCTGTAAACAGAATCTCTAAACTACTGTTTATATATGCATTACAAAAATAACCTTTACCTAATTTGTAAGTACTTTATTTGCCCTTTAATGGGGCAGCTGAAGATGTGGACTTCATATGGAGTTTCAGGATGGGTATCAAGATAAGGTTTTCTTAAAGGCATGGAAAGAAAAAGTTTCTTGGAAAAAAAAGAAAGCCATCTTGAAATCATCTATCTGAACTCTTGTGGTATTATATCAACAAGAACTAGAAACAGTGGGTCCTGGAACCAGGGACTCTTTAGGGATTAATTTTTCAAAATGAAGCACTGTCTTAAGATCCAGCAACCAAACTTAGCAAAATCTGGATGTTTCAAGTGGTCAGCATAGTGATGTGGTTTATTTGTCAAAGCATGTAATGCTAAAAATAATCAACTGAAAAACCCCAACTGAACCTCTCCAGCCAGCACTGAGTTAAATGAAATGCTGATGGGTGTTTGTAAATAAGCTGGTAGTTTGCTTTCGGTGCCATATATAAATATCTATTCTCCCAAACAAGACCAGAATGGAAAAAAGGTTTTGCTTGTGAATAGGCCCTCTTCAGCATTTTGCACTCCACTGACCTCCACTGTTGGTTTTAAACACCCTTAACTAATGTTAAAACTTTTAATTTTCTGTAAATGTCTGTTTACAATTACATGTAGTTGGTTTTTAAAACTAAGTGATGATTTTATATATATGGTGCTCTACAAATACCCTATGGGATTATGTAGAGAAAGTTTAAACTAAAAGGGAATTGTTTTTCCTTTAGGATGTATTACATCCCTTTTATTTTTCTCAAGTTTTGTTTTAAAAATTGTTGTTCTATTGAATCTCACGCTGTAATTGGAACTGTTACTGTGTTTTCTAGTGGCTGATTTAATTACTCATTATGATGAGAAGCAGAGGAGTCACTTAAATGCAGTCTAAAGCACTCAGTTAGACATCCTGTTACTTTTCAGGAATACCTGGGTAATACTTTATTTCTTAGTATAAGAAATAATGCCAGTGCTGTGTGGCAAGCTATGGAAATGATATATGAATAAATTTTAATGATTCTTGATATTACACAAGATCTGTGCAAAGTACTTATAACAACATAAGTAGAGAAACTGCTAAGTTATTGCCAAAAATATTTTTCTTGTGTTCTACAAGTTTACAGAAAATTTACTATGACAACTATCTTACATATATATATGCTGATGTGCATTACAGAAATCAGTGTGACAAGATGATAAACAATATAAAACAAGGTATTTTTATTTTTTAAAAAAATGGCATTTTTACCCTATAGAACATATTTCTGTATTTATAGTTTTTCAAGAAAAAAAATCAATTTTCTTTTCTGTTTCAGGCTTTGTAATTTATTTCAACTGCTTCATTTTTAGAGCTGAATGCGTATGCCAGTGAAGCTGAGACAATAGGTATAGGAAAGCTGTTCAGCAAAATGTTTAAAAAGAACAAAAAGCTTGTAAAGTGTTCAGATAGAGAAGAAAGAATGAATGTGTGTATTGAGTTTTGGGCTTTTTTTAATAATGGCCTTAAACTTTTTTGGAAGCATTTCAAATAAATTACATTAAACCATCTTGATTTTTATTTGGTTTGGTTGGTTGTGCAAGATTTTCATGGTCCACACAGTGAGGCTTAATCTGAGTGACCAAGGCCTACACTTTGATTCTCATGGAAGTGTTACATATTTGGATCCAAGTTGCTAGATACACAGTAGAAACAAAGAAACAAGTCACTGCACTCTATTCACCACATTCCCCAAAGTTTTGTATTGACTCATTTATTTATTAAGTAGGTGGTACAAAAAATTAACAGCCTGTCATCAGTTTCTCTCTTATGATTCCTTGTGGGTCACATTTCTATTTAATATATCATTCCAAATTATTGAGGTGATTAATTTTGAGTCTTGTAAAAAGCCACTAACCAGCCAGTGAACCTCAGAAGACTAATTTACATTTGTTTACTGTTATGTAGCAACCCACTTAACCTCAGATCAACACGGGCTGGAGTGCAAATGTTTCAGTTTTGCTTTGTAATTGACATGCACTTAGCTACTGATTGAGCTAATAAAGCTTAATAATGTTGGCTTTTTCTCTTCGAATGATCTTAAAGATTAAGCTTTCCAGTTTAAGAATGCTATTATCATTCTGGATTTGGTTAGCTTGTTTTGGTTCTAGCACTTTTAAAAGACCCCTGCTTTTGAAAAAACTTTTCTTGATGCAGTGGATCTTTTTGGATACACTGGAGTGCTGGGGTGTCTTGAAGAGTAAAATGTACCAAAAAGCATGGGTAAAATGTAAAATGATGAATGCAAAGTGAAGAGGTGTCCCAGTCCAATTAGACTCGGGAGCGTTCGATCGATTCCCCCAATGTGAATTAAAACAAAAACGAGGTCAAAATACCATTAGGGAGTGAGAGTTGATTACTGGTCACGCAAGGGGGAGAGAAGGGGTGATAGAAAAGTTAGAAACAGAAAAGGGGAGAAGCAGGCAAGATTTGGGATGCCAAAGCAGACACGGTCACCACCATGGATCCAGATGATCTGTAGTCATGTAGAAGAGAGATGGTCACCACTATAGGTCCAGCAGCATTCTGATGATCCATAGTTGCCTTTTCTTTGGTGGTGTGTGCCGTGCTCTGGAGGCTGGTCCTTTTCATAGGGCTCTGTCAGGCACTCATTGGTCTGTTTCCTTGGAGCTGAGCAATTCCCAGCCCCCAGGGTCCTTACCTGTTAGCTGGAGGATTTGGGTGATGGTCAATGGCATCTCCTTATCTCTGCAGCTAGAGGATTTCCATGGCTGGAGGCATCCTGAGGCTCAGCAAAGCTTTGAGGCAATCAACCACACCTTTCCCCACCCATCAAGGCCAGACAATGTCTGAAACAAACATTTCTTAAAGGTCCCTTACAAGAGGAAAAGAAATATATATTAGTAATCCTGGTGTCACAGAGAGGAATCTGAGAGATTGCAGCAGTGAAGAGGCAAGAGTTAGTGAAAAGCCTGAGGTGTCAAGGGCTTCCAGATCACCACAAGGGGATGGTAAAATAAGGAGAGGGATGCAGATGCTCTTCTGAATCTAAGGTATGAGTACTCTGGATGTTTCAGCCTGGAAGAAGAGTGAGTGATGAGGTGTTCCTGCTCTCAGGAAGCCAGTGTCTGATGTGGCAGATTTGTCCCTTTTTGACAAATCTTAGCAACCTGTTTGCTCTTTTGTTCCTTATGAGGACAGTCAGAGTAGTCTTAGCTTATGGAAAGATCTGATCAACCAGACATAATAAAGGGAAAAGCAGTGATTGTTTTGACTGAGAAAGAAAGGTAAGCAAAGAGAATGGCCACGGAAGTCTTTGAACTATGTGGGTCCTATGAGATTACAAAAGAAAATTTAACTGTCTGTGGCCTTTTGTTTCCCTAGATTTACTCTGCAGCACTGAGAACAACAACACAAGGATGAAGACTTATCTTCTGGAACACACAGGTCTGTTAGGAGACACCAGGAGCAATAAGTTCAAGGTCTATGAAATTCAGTACCAGAGAATCAGTAGCCAGAATCTGAGTAAAGGAGAGGCCCAAAATTGAACTCCAAGGTAGAGAAAGTGCTTCTCAGGGGTGACTCCTCTTCTGCATGACTCACCTGAACCAGGAACACTGCCTCAGAAATGCCTCTGTGACAGTGGGAACCAGGTTTCTTGAGGTTTCATGGAAATTTCTAGATTTTGAAAGCTACATCAGAACTTTTAGATACTGGCTTAATGGCTTGTACAGTTTGGAAAACTTGATGTTTTATGGTGACACTACCTGGCTGAAACCAAGATCCACGTATTTGGAAGATTTGTTTCCTTTGAAAAGGGGGTTCCAGATTCAGAATGGACATTTTTTCCATGTTTAATGCTTAGTCCTGAATACAAATTTTAAAATACTCTAATCCGTTCAACAGGTTGATGCTGCCATCTAATGGAAATAATGATATATTTTCAGAGCTGATTCGATTACATTAAATTTGAAATATTTAAAGATATTGAATGTATTAATAACTATAACATTAAATATTTTTTAAAATACAAGTAGATATTTTCAGGCTTTCACCTGAGTATCACAAATTTGTCTGGAAAAAAAAGTACTAGGGAAGTGTCTGCTACTAATCCCTGGTTTTATAGAGCCAAGTCAAGACTCTTGCCCCATTTTGTCTCACCTTTTAATATCACAGTCATGTTTTCTCCATGGCAGGTAAATGATACTAAAGCTAAGTGTGTAAATTGGGTTTTGTTTCTGAATTTTCCAAAGGTGCCTTGCTTTGCATGATCCCTGAAGAAAGATTAATGATACAGTTCTCCTATCTTTGATCCCCTTGTCCTGGTTTTAGCCAGGATGGAGTTAATTTTCTCAGTAGCAAGTGTAGTGCAGTGTTTGGATTCAGAGTGATAATACACTGATGTTTTGTTTTTGCTAACTTGTGTTTATCCTAAATCAAGGACTTTTTCTTGCTTGTGTCTTATGCTCTGCCAGTGAGAAGATACACAAGAAATTGGGAGGGAGCATAGCTGGGACAGGTGAGCTGAACTAGCCAAAGGGATATTCCCCACCATGGCACGTCATGCCCAGTCTATAAGCAGGAAGGGCCGATCCAGGGGGAGGTTCGGGGTTGCGTCAGTCCGCGGGTGGTGAGCCATTGTATTGTGCATCACTGATTTTGTTCTTTTTATTATCCATTAGCATTTTAGCTCATTCTACTCTTTATTATTATTAAACTGTTCTTATCTCAAGCTACATATTTTACTTTATTTGTTCTCCTCCCCATTCCTCCAGGTTGGGGGAGGAGGGAGTTTAAGTGGCTGCATGGTTCTTGGCTGCTGGCTGAGGTTAAACCACAACACTCTGGAGCCTGAAAATTTGGTCAGCACAAAATTAATACTTAAACACTTGAAGAAATGGGATGTGTTTTGCATCACTGGAGTAATTTCTGGAAAGTAAAATAGAGATTTGTAGTTATTTAAATTAAACTGTAAAAATATGCTCAGATTGAGTAATTTTGCATTTCTAAATTTGACTTCATAAGAAAATACTGAGGTAATGTCTGGAACAAGCACCCAGGTTTGCTCTTAGAGCATGGAGTCTTATGCAACTTTCCCTTACAAATGTCTTGTTTTGTGGCTATTAATCTGATTTAAATCTGTATTACTCATGTACTGCATATCATCTGATTTCAGAATCAAAGGTATCTGCAGCTGCTTTGGACTTGGGTGGGAAACCACTTGGTGCAGGCCAAGGAGTCATGGTCGAATGCTTGCAAGTATCAGAAACCACAGAAACCAGAGACAATAAGGTGACAGATTTTGTTACGTTTTTTAACTTCAGAGTATTCAAGTAATCTCTTCCTGTGGTGTTTTTTCACTGAACCTTTGCTTTGTGAACTGGGATTCTTGGTATCTGTTTTATATCTATCAGGATCTAAGATGCATAGTGGTACAGTGATTGGATTGTTAGATAATTTATCAAGTAGTACTTCGTAAATTTTGTGATGATCTCTCCCAGACTTACATTAACTAACACATAAAAATAATTCTGTACAACTGAAAAGAGGTATCTTTTTAAAGCAAGTGCTAAATGAGGGAAACTTCTTTGGTATTGCTTGGTAAAGAAGCAAAACTTCGTACTTCGTTTGGTCCAAACACCAATCAACTGAACTAGTTGTACACTGAAGACATACACAGCCTGGAAGTGATTTTAACAGCTTTGTCAATTCAAACTTAATAAAGCAGGTTGACATGTTCAGAGATGTATGATGGATCAACCTAACTCCACCAGATTGGTGGGGGTGTTTGTGTCTGGAAATTCTATTTGAACAAGGTAAAGTGTTGGGACCTGGCTAGCAGAGGAGCTGTAACTTGAGCAACAGTTAAAGGAATGCTTAAGCAATTAAAAACAAGACACACAAAATAGGTCTTGCTGACCTTGTTTCTATCTTCATGCATTCCTGTGTCTTCAATCCAACACTTTATAATGGTCTTGTTCTCTCCTGCTGCCAGGGTTTTTAGGTTTGGTTTTAGTTTTACTGCCTTATAGATAAGATAAATCGCCTTGCTAACAAGCTGAGAATAGTGCTGTTGTTTAGATTCTCATGGACACTGCCTAGCTCTTGTTATCAGTTTCCCAGGATGTGAGAGTGGGATGCAGCTTAAACTTGTAACCTAGGTAAGGTAAGAATTGTACGCATTGACAAGTGGAGCAACCAATCTGAAGTTGTGTAATCAGTGTGTAGCTGCATGTACGGGAGACATTTTATTATAAATACTGTTAGGTGCCCTAAATAAAGTTGGCTATCAGAGCATCATACTGGTGTGCTGTAGTCCGTCCCTCGCAAGGATCACAAGGACCCCAACAGTAAAGCAAGCAAAATTATTCCAATCAACGCATTGACAAGTGGAGCAACCAATCTGAAGT